AAGAGCTCAAACCAGCTTTTTGTAAGCATTCTTTTTTTTTTTTTTTTTGCTATACACTAACTTTTATCCATTATATTTCATTTAATCTCTTCCCTTTTCTCCTCACTATCTTTAGTTTGTTTGGAGGCATCAGTGACAGATTAGCAGGCAGGCAGCAAACATGTAAATTTGATGTTTGAGAGCCCACAAGGCTAATGCTGTAAGGCACTGGAGCCTTTGAGGCCACAAAATAAATGATAGCATATTTCTTCAAATCAGCAGCCATAGAGTCTCTCTCTCTCTCTCTATCTCTCTCTCTCTCTCTCTCTCTCTCTCTCTCTCTCTCTGTCTCTCTCTCTCTCTACCCCCCTCGCTTTTTCCTTCTCTTTCTGACACACACACATAAGCACATGCACACTCTCATACACAGTGTTAATGGCTTCATAATTATCAGAGGCAAACCACTGAGCATAATCATGAGACTGCAGCATGGCAAAGACCAGTATTTGTAATTTACTATGACAGATAGTACATTTTTAACACCTAGAGGCCTCTGCTTTGTTTTGGGATGCGATAAACCACACTCATCCACATACTTTTTTTTTTTTTTTTAATCTCTCCCATTTCACATAGGCACACTCACATCCTCTCTCTTGCTATCTCTGTTGTTTTGTTTTGTTTTGTTTGTTTGTTTGTTTGTTTCTTTCTTTCTCTCTCCCTCTCACACACATACAGTGGTTATGCTGCAGACAGGGTGTGACCTGGGGGTCAGGAACATTATGCCGAACAGACAGACATTGAGTCAGGAGAGCAAAGTTCAGCTCATCACAGGAAATCACAGGCACACACAGACATTCATGCATGCATTAAGGTCAATGCAAGCACACAATCACTCATAAGGGACCTTGTAATGTATAAACTAAATCTTGGGTTTGGGTTGAAATCCAAAAGCTTCTTTGCCATTATGAAGTATGCAATGAAACTGCCTCAATCACATTATTCTTCTTTGTCAAAACCTGTTGCCTACATTACCCAGGATGCAACTTGATCAGTGTCAGTTCACCTGGATATTTAAATGTGTTATGCTAGTGCACATCTGCTGATGTAGCTTTGAGCTGCTTTCCTCATGCAGGTCTGATAAGCTCACTTCCTTCTAAACCCGCCTTAAGATTTGCTTTAATTTCAAGCTTGTATTCCTCGAACCCAAACCCAACACTATTTAAGAAGAAACAATATAAGGAGTCATTTATCAGGCTTTACATAGCTCCATCTGGAAACACAAAAGGCTTTTTTTTTAGTCACGTATGTCCTCCTAAATGCATTTAAACAGACTTTAAATTGTAAAGTCCGTGGAGTTCTCCTTTAATATTCTCTTCCAAACATTTATCTGAAGAGAATTTAATACATGTTATGCCACACAACATATTATCTCACGTCACTGTCATTGATTCCAGTTTGGCAGCACTTAAGGTAATTGATGTAAACAGTATCTCAATCCCTACAAATAAGCTCCTCTTCTATTTCGGATGGAGCCTGTTCGCTGTGGTGACTTGACATATTATGAAATATCTTGTTTTCTCACTGTGTAGCTTTGAGAGAGAATTACTCATGTCCAAAACATTAATTTAACAGTCACAAACCATTAGAATAGCACATGTAAATTATTAAATTGAGCGTTTTTTGCACTTTGAGGCTGAACTCAAAGATGTAAGCGATTCATACTCTAATTGAAGTGGAAGTGTGCTTATATTGCTCAGTTTGTAGGATTGGGAATGTGGATGCTGGTGACGAGGATGGAGAAATGGAGTGTGTGTGTCAGAGTTAACAAGGGAGACAAATAGGACACACAAATAGGAACAGAGAGCGAGAGAGAGAAAGAGACAGAGAGAAGCAGGTGCACCACTAATGGCTTTTTAAAAAGGTTACAGCGTAGAGCCCTTCTTTTCTAATGGGGCTCTGGCTGTGCTTGAGAAGCAATTTCCGGAAAAGATAATGTTGTCGAGAGAGTGCAGAGAGTTCTCTCTTTGTGTGTGTGTGTGTGTGTATGTGTGTGTGTGTGTGTGTGTGTGTATGTGTGTGTCTTGTCGTTAACAAGACTGACAAACACAAACTCAAAGAAACACAAAGAGGGGGCGGGAAGAGATTAGGGCAATTGAGAGAGAAAGAAACAGAGAGAAATTGCCTCTGTCTATATTTCAAAGTAATTGTGCCATTATTTTACATTTATTAGCTTCATGACAAATACCTGCTGTGGGCCAGCAGAAGTCTCAAGCAAAAAAGAGTTACATTTTTTTCTGTTTTAGCTCATTTTCACTTTGCTAATGTGCTGTTTGATTTTATAAACATTAGAAGTAATGGATTCTGGAAGCCTCACGCCTGCATTTCCCCGGCCTTCTGCTAAGCATGGTAAACAATGCCACCCTGTGTCCACAGCTGCCTACTACAGCTTATTGAACTGAGTTGATCCTGCATCTCTGTAGGTTTTCAACATAATCTTTTGATATGTTGAAACTTGCAATAATACATTTTTTAATGCTTTTTTCCCCAACTAGATTTGCTGTAAATGCGCCTCCTTGATACTCAGTCAGAATATGTTTATCTCACATACGAATTTTGCACATTGTTTTTCACCTTTACACTTTCAAACAAGAAGCCGTTAAAGTCCACAAAGGGGCAGTGCTTTCCTTTTAGAGTGTCCCTGTTCCACACAATATCTGTGGAAAAGTGACAAATTGTCAGAATACATAATACACCTGTTTATTTCTGCCTACGATCTGTTTAAACACAAATTTTATAAAAAAGGACGAGCAATTCACTGTGCTTAAGTCAAAATGTCTCCTGTTACTCATAGTCTGACTTAAAGTAAAGATTAATTGAAAGTCGTTTCCCACACACTTTCACATTCAGTGGCTACTGTATCTCAGTAATTTGAAGTAACAGCAATGGAACAAATAGAATTGGTATAACAAATATGGCCTTATTAAAGGGTTTCAGGGAATTCAGACAAATCATGTGAAAAATGTTGTTCACACAGTGATATGTGTTAATTGCAATTTATTTTGGTAAATAAATACAAAACAGAGACATTTTTAACATGAAAATAACCTTGTTGGGACAGTAATGGTGTTTTCTATCTCTTCAGTTGTTTACAAAAGAATCCAGACTGAAAAGTTTCACTGTAGGTAATCTCAGAGCTATAATGAGCACCTTCTGCTATAACAGGCATTATTAGGACGCCTTGGCAGGGGTCCTTTGAAGGCCTGCAGTTACACACAAGCACAAGTGTGTAATTATAGCAGCTACTTTTGACAGTTTAACTTAAGAAAACAGATTGCCAAATTAACAGTTATGCTGCCATACAATATGCTCATTATAAACATACACACAAATCTCAATAAGCACACACACACACACACACACACACACACACACACACACACACACACACACACACACACACACTAAATAAAACCATAACAACATCTTCTTTATATAACCCATCGCGTAAACCTTCCTGCAGTGTCCTTTTGAACTGAGCAGAACCAAGCAAATTGTGAGCCAATCACACTGGTTGTATGCTGTTAGATTTCACACACTTCTCCACTGCGCTACATTCCTGCTTTAGATCAGGCCACTACTCATGTTCCTGCAAGACAGCTTCAGGTAGCTTCACATTCTTCACATAATTTAAACATAATGACGGTGTGGTATATACTGTGTAAAGAAATCTATATACTGTACAAAACTATACAAAACTCAGAGGTCCCACCTCCGTGTTACACACTTTGTCTGTGCCATTAGTTTCATAGAGTAAGTGTGAGGAAGTAATGATGGACAGAAGCAGGGAAAAACTGGACAAGACAGATGCAGAAACAGCAGCAGGTTGATGTCACAACCACTCGTATATCACATTGGTTTTGAAAACACCAGCTGATGTGAATGTAGAAAACATCATATTAGCGTCCTGTATTTAGATAGTTGTAGTCTGAAGGGGAAAAAAAAAAAAAGAGGCGTAAATATGTTAAAACAACGGAGGGAAATAGAAAGAAAAGTGACTTTTCTATAAACTAGTACATATTAGGACCTCCACATGGGAATGGATATTTGGTCAAATCATAAAACTTCCCAGATATTTCACAGCATGGACATTAAACCTACAGACATTTTATAACACACATTTGAATAGTAAGTAAATGAAAGATATTTGGAAAGTTGGCAGAAATCCAATTCAGCTCATTTCAGGGATGAATGAATTGATGCCTCAAAACAATGTGGTATCACAAGCACAGCTCTAGTGTGTATAAATCTCTCATCTATCACCTCACGCAATATAAAACAAAACAAAATAAGGTACAACACAGTTGAGTGAACGTTAAATTGGTTCATCTGTGCTATAATTTACAAAAGTGCTTTCCTCTTTGACAGCATCTCTTGTTAGTTTTGAGGACAGAGAAAAATCTGTACCATAATACTCGATGGTACCTGCTTTTTGATTACACATACGTCTTTGTTGTTATTCTTGTCCTTTGCTTGTTTCAGTTTAATTGTCCTGAGTGTTGCAAAATGGTCTTGGGGACAATCCACATGTGACTGGGATTTTCTTTCATCCCCAAACCTTTTTTTTTTTTTCTTTATTTGATTGGAAATATCAAGTCATCACCAGCCAACAGTCTTTAGAGTCACTGTTGAGTCTTTGTGGAAAACCGGACAAGGAAACAGGACACAGTATTGCTTTAACAGCTCTGGCTTTGGCGAGTCTTTGATTGGGTCTTTTACACCCAAAAGAAAAAGGAGGCCATCTTGGAGGACAAACAGGACAGTTCAGGGCAGGAAGGACGGTTCTCTGTCTTCCACTGGTCCTCACCAAATGACAAGTTTCAGCCGAGCTCGCCGTGTGCAGGTGTTGCTGGTTTGTCTCTTTTGACTGGTAGACGTTCAGACCTGGGTAGATTTGACTCGTCGGAGAGGCTTTCGTCCTTCAGGGTGGGCAGGGCAGGGCGGGGGGCATTCGATGGGCAGGTCTAGACTGCGCTGGTGAGGCAACGCCTTGAGGGGAGGAGCACATCGGGAGGGGCGGGGGATGGGATTGGCTGATGGTCATGTGATCTCAGAATACGGTAGCCCTGGAGTCTAAGAACAGCGAAAATGAGACAGAGAGGGAAGTAAGACTATTAAAAACATCAGAACAACTGGACTTGACTGAAACCATAAGAGACAGCAATTCACTGTAATGATTTCTAGAAAAGAGAACCACACGAAACTAAGATATCAGACACAAAGAAGCATTTAGGACAGATTAAGATTCAATGAGACAACAAAGTTTATAGTGAGGACAAGGGACAACAAGAGTCGTTTTCTCGTGAAAACAAGATAATTGATGTTTGTGTTTGCCCGCTCGTGCCCGGTCCAGGATGGAATCCCAGGTGTGTGGGACCTCCCACACACCTGGGATTCCATCCTCAGTCACCAGCGGGGCCACCATGACCGCTCTCGGCTTCTGTAGTGCCACAATTATTAGCACCCTTGATGTTAATACTTTGTACAACCCCCCTTTTGCCAACAATTCATTTGAGTTGAGTTGAAGGTTACATTTTCTACAATTTTCAGTGTGAGAGTATGCTTCTGCAATAAAAATTGAATTTATTTTAAGGATTTTAACACATCGTAACCAGGGGTGCCAATAATTATGGAGGGCGCTGTATCTGAACGTTCAGTAATGGAATCATTGAAACCCATTGGTTTCTGTCACAAAAAAACAATCGTGCATTTTGGTTCTTTCATAGATTTATTATATAGTAAGGGCATTTTATGAAATTTATCACAAATCTGCCAACTCAGTCGTTACCAAACAATTTCTTCACCAATATGTTTGTTAAGGTGTGTAATAACATGCCTTAAAATGTTGAAGTTCAACTCCCGTGGGAAACCCTGAAAAAAACCTTCTCAAGTTAGGGTACCGATAACCAATTGATGAAAAATCGATTTTTAAAAATCAGGCCTTCAGTAACTTATGAGGGGTCAAATCAGGGTTTTTTTCATGATTCTGAGTTGATTTTTAGCATTTATATTTCACCACAAACACTTCTTTGTTGAAAAAGGCCACACTCACTTTTACATTTACATTTACAGTAGCTTTTATTTCACATACTTATATAACACTCAGAGTTATTTCTCATTCATAGTGTCAGTTTCAAGAGTCATTGTCTATGTCTTCTTCAGACTCAACAACATCATGACTGCAGTTTCTACATGTAATGCCTTCACAGATTCCACAGGCCCAGATGCACGTGACAGCTCATGAACTTCAGTTGCTGCAAGAAGAATGACAATTACAGCTCATGAACTTCAGTTGTTGCAAGAAGAATGACAATTACAGCTCATGAACTCCAGTAGCTCCTCAGGAGTCATGGGGTCTAGTGTTGGAACTGGCTCATACCCATGCACACCTAATGTCTATCCATAGTCACTGGACTTCAGAGACATGCTCTGTAGAAGGATCCAGTCCCGGGTCTGCAGAGTGAATGCTGTGCAGCTGCACCCTCTGTTAGAGTCTCTGGTTTGAGAACATCCATCCATTATCTCACTAGGGTCGCAGGGGGCTGGAGCCTATCCCAGCTGACTCAGGGTGAAGACAGGTTCACCTGGATAGGTAACCAGTCTATCACAGGGCTACACTTAGAGACGGACAACCAAGCACGCACGGACAATTTAGAATCACCAATTAACATTAACATATTTCTGGACTGGTGGGGGAAGGCGGAGAATCCGGAGAGAACCCACGCTGCACGGGGAGAACATGGAGACTCCACACAGAAAGATCCCGGCTGTCCTCACCAGGAGGCAAATTGGCGACCTTCTGGCTGCAAGGCGACGGTGCTAACCACCGAGCCACCTTGCAGCCCTCCTTGAGAACAGGTTGTACCAAATTTCACCCAATGTAGTATCTGCGCCATGATAAATGTGCTGGACCAGCACATTACCAGCCTGAATCACTGGCTCTTTGGTGGCTTCTGTGTCAAGGAAGACGTCCATGTACTCATCCATGTCCCCTGCACAAAACATGTGCAGAAAACATGTGCAGGGGACATGGATGAGTCCATGGACATCTCCAGCTGCAAGAAGAATGGGGTCACATGTATCTGGGCCTGTGGAATCTGTAAAGGCATTACATGTAGAAACTGCAGTCATGATGTTGAGTCTGAAGAAGACATAGACAATGACTCTTGAAGCTTCTGACATTGTGAATGAGAAATAACTCTGTGTTATACACTGCTGAAAAAAAAGGGAACACCTAAACAACATAATGTAACTCCAAGTCAATCACACTTCTGTGAAATCAACCTGTCCAGTCAGGAAGCAACACTAATTTTGAATCACTTTCACCTGCTGTTGTGCAAATGGAACAAACAACAGGTGAAATGAGAGGCAGTTAGCAAGACAACTCCTATAAAGGAGTGGTTCTGCAGGTGGTGATCACAGACCATGTCTCTGTTCTCATCCTTTCTGGCTGATGTTTTGGTCACTTTTGCATTTTGTCAGTGCTTTCACCCCTAGAGGTAGCATGAGGCGTATCTACAACCCACACAAGCTGCTCAGGTAGTGCAGCCCATCCAGGATGGCACATCAATGCGAGCTGTGGCAAGAAGGTTTGCTGTGTCTCTCAGCACAGTGTCCAGAGCCTGGAGGAGATACGAGGAGACAGGCCAGTACACCAGGAGACGTGGAGGGGGCCGTAGGAGGGCAACAACCCAGCATCAGGACGCTACCTCCTCCATTGTGCAGGAGGACCAGGAGGAGCACTGCTAGAGCACTGCCAGAGCCCTGCAGAATGACTTCCAGCAGGCCACTAATATACATGTTTCTGCTCAAACTGTCAGAAACAGACTCCATGAGGGTGGTATGAGGGCCCCACGTCCACAAGTGGGGCTTGTGCTTACAGCCCAGCACCGTGCAGGGAGATTGGCATTTGCCAGAGAACACCAAGATTGGCAGATTGGCCACTGGCACCCTGTGCTCTTCATGGATGAGAGCAGGTTCACACTGAGTACATGTGACAGACGTGACAGAGTCTGGAGACACTGTGGAGAACGTTCTGCTGAATGCAACATCCTCCAGTATGACCGGTTTGGTGGTGGGTCAGTAATGGTGTGGGGAGGCATTTCTTTGGAGGGCCCACAGCCCTCCATGGGCTAGCCAGATGTACCCTGACTGACATTAGGTACCGGGATGAGATCCTCAGACCCATTGTGAGACCATATGCTGGTGCAGTGGACCCTGGGTTTCTTCTGATGCATGACAATGCTAGGCCTCATGTGGCTGAAGTGTGTCAGCAGTTCCTGATGATGAAGGCATTGATGCTATGGACTGGCCAGTCAGTTCTCCAGACCTGAATCTAACTGAGCACATCTGGGACATCATGTCTCGTTCCATCCACCAGCTCCACGTTGCACCACAGGAGTTGACTGATGTTTTAATCCAGGCGCCTCATGTACAAAGACTTCTGTGGATTTCATACTGAAACCTGGCGTATGCTTCAATCCTGAAAACTGCGTACGCACAAAAAAGTCCAGGGGCCTCATGTACAAAGCGTGTGTACGCACAAAAACTTGGCGCACGCACTTATCCACGCTCACGTTCAGATGTATCAAGAGTGAAATGAACGTGGAAATGTGCGGTCCTCCACGCCAACTTCTTGACTGGCGTTTGGTGTTTGCAATCAGATGAGCGGATATAAAAGTTTACATAAAATGGTGCAGAAGATACCGTTAACAACAGTGGCAGCTTTGGAGCTGTTGGAGGATATTGCCAATGGAGCAGTGCCAAGAGAACGGGTTTCCAGAGACCTCAGGACGACGACTGGATCATCAGCGCTTTACGTTCCCGAGGGCAATTTGCTTAGAACTGTGCGCGGAGCTGTGGCCATTATTGGAGCGCAACACGTCCAGGAGCCATGTCCTACCTGTGCCCATACAGGTGCTGACCACACTGGGCTTCCTGGCCACAGGGTCATTTCAGACGGAGCTGGCCGACCGACCGGGACTGTGCCAGTCGACAGTGAGCAGAGCCATGCCAGCTGTGTGGGTTGGAACCATCCGAATGTCAGCCAGATATATCAAATTCCCACACTACAGTTGAACAGGGCGACATAAAAGTGCAATTTGTAGCTACGGCTGGTTTTCCTGTTGTAATCGGAGCTGTCGACTGCACACACATTGCTATAGAGGCACCATCACAAGATGCATGTGTTTATGTAAACAGGAGGCATTTTTTATTAAATCAGTGTACAGATCATCTGTGATGCCCAAATACAATTAAGTACCGTTGTTGCGAGGCGGCCTTGATCAAAACACATTCTGACCGACAGTGTGGTTGAGAACAGGCTACAAGCTGGCACGGTGGTGGCTTCTCGGTGAGTAAGTCATTTAATTGTCCTAACATTAATTCCCCCGACATGCGTTGATGTGCGCCCCGGACGGCATCAGCAGCTGGCTGTTGTGGCGGACTGGAGGATCGGCTGACGCTGGGGAGGCTGGAGGAATCCTGTGGGTCTGTGATACGAGGCTGGGACTGCGTCTCACAGTCTTCTCCTGCCTCATTGTCTATCAAAAAATAATAAATTGAGTAATCTGACATGAGACAAAGTTTTGATTTCCTCTTTTATATCCTGGCATGATTACGCAAGAACCTGTATCTTGTTTGGCTGCGAGCAGATTATTATATGACCCGTGTAGTGAATAAATCTGTGAGTTACACCATATATATTGACCTTGGGGTGATCTGAGTGACCTACGTGTGCTCCCACCACCCCTGTGACAGCAACGTCACTCACAATAGTGGCGACTCTCTGCTCAAACATGGTGAGTTCATCCTTGTTACTGTTATCTGATCCTGCAGAGAGGGGAATCCCACCTGTCGGCCCTGTTTATACTAATTTGCATATTTAAATTGAGGGCGTGGAGAGGGAGGAGTCTGGTACTCCAACATGTGCGGTCAATTCCACGTTGAGTGGGATGTACAAAGGAAATGTGCTTGGATTCCGGCGTACGCTCACTTTCGTTCATCTGTATTTTTTTGTGCATGCGCAGTTTTCAGGATTGAAGCGTACGTTTCAGTATGAAATTCACGTAAGT